ATTTGTTTAAATAATAAAGAAATATATTATAATTTACTCTAAAATATGGGGGATTACAGGTTCTTCGGCCCCATGATAAATAGCTGTGTTGAGGTATTTAAGCTTCTTTGAACTTTAACACTTAGTTTATCTTCATTTTTCTTTTACTAACTTGTATTCTTCTTTCATCCATAGCTCTTACTTAGGCTCTCTGCCTTCCAAGACTGGCACCCCTCGGGAGAGGCGCGAAATCCAGTCGGCCTGGGAGGACATAAAGAAGATTTAGGACGAGAGCACTAGGCTGCTGGCCCTCCAAAGCATCCAGCACAAGACTGCCCTTGATGCGTTGAGCGAGAAGTCTGCCAAACAGACTGAGGACATAGTCAAAATGGGCGATGCCCTCAAGAAGGAACGGTTGGCTAACGAGGCTCTCGTGAAAGAGAGGGACGAGGCGGTCGCCCATGCTGCCGAGTGGTAGGAGGGAGTCGAGGCTTCGGAAAAGCTCAAATCCGAGCTGGAGACCTGCTTGGTAGCCCTTGAGAAGACTTTGAAGGAAGGAGAAGAACACAATCAGGAGGCTGAGGTGCCTCAAAAAGGAGGTAGAAGAGCTGAAAGAACAGCTCAAGGATCCCAAGAATATCTCCCCTCAGGAAATGGTCCGAATCGAGCAGTCGACCATCACTCGACTTAAGAATCGATTTGAGGAGGGCTACTTTATGATGGTTGACGTCAACGAAATCGGCTACTACCTGGAGCACTTCACCAACCGGTTGGACTATGTCACCTTCAAGGAGGAGTGCCAAGCTATTGGGGAGCCTGTCCCTCCATTCGTCGCCACCCCCTCCCCTACTAAAAGTGATGATGATGAAGACGGGGAGGAGGAAGAGGAAGAGTCGGCCAAGGATGATGAGCCAACCAAGGCAGACGATGCAGCTAAGGAAGGTGAGTCGACCGCTGGAAATGGTGGAGAGGAGGCGGCCAAATGAGGAGCTCTCTTCTTCTTCTGCAGCTGTTTAAGCTTTCAGTACTTCATTTTTATTTCTTTGTTTGGAACAATTTCAACTTTTGCCGTCTGTTTTGAGCGGTCTTGTAATATACTCTTTTTGTTTTTATTTGCCGTCCGTTTTGAATGGCTTTGATTTACAAAGTATCTTCAACTTCTTTTTATCCATACTTAGCATCTTTGAGCAACTTTTCATGCCTTTATTTGCTTTAACATACGAATGATTTTACAGTGGGGGTATGACCCTTTATTCTACATTTGCCTAGTCCACATACAAAGAGGTTTTATTAACTTAGTAGGTTTTATACCTCAAAGGGTATGACAACTAGTAAGTTAATCAAATCATAATAATGATTGCACTTGGACTAGGTGAATGCCGAATGAACTTTAGCAATACGACCGTTTAATTGGCTCACGCCGAGTCGTGCTTTGATGCTATCTCTCGGACGCACTCGTGAAATTTCAAGTATTATCTCAACCTGATCTTTCCTAAGTGTTTATTAGGCTCACACGCCTAGGTATGCCTTTTCCCTTAGAGTAAAAATACCTTAGGCAATTTTCGGACTACCTTATGTTTTATCCGTCCGACCGGTCTAGGGCCGGATGGAGCGTCTAACATTTTGACCCTTATGGCCGAATTGCTTTGCTGGGGAATGCCCTTGCTAGGCATTGGACTCGGCCGCTTATTCCCCCCTTTAGGGGCCGAGCTGCTATGTTGGGAGCAGCTTCGTTTCTCTTTTTAGGCGGCATTGCTTATTCATCTCTACCCTTGTCAGGGGCCGAGCTGCTATGTTGCAAGCCACCCTTGTTTCTGTTTTTAGTCGGCATTTCTTCTTAACAATAAGTAAATATACAAAATATATTACAAGAGTTTAATAACAATGTTTGACTTTTTCATTAATATCGTCAAAATTACATTGTTTTTGGCCGTATGGCTTTAATTACATTGCTCGGCCGTTTAGACCTAGTTGTATATACAAATTTTGGCTAAGCACAAAAATTTATACTGTTAGGCGGTCGCACACCTAGCAAAAATAACCTTACTAATCCTCCTAACTATGTAGTAGGGCAAGTCAGGGTCGATCCCACAGAGACTATGGTTCACCTAAAATTATCTAGACTCAAGTTATTAGTAAGCAAGGATCAACAATGGTCGAATAACTAAAGAACTAATGTATGGAAAATCGAAAATAAACTAAGGGATATGAAGAATCAGATAATTAAAACATCCAAGATCTAGTATCACCACAATTACGATTAATGCAATTATATTCCTACCCCTAACATACGATTCCAATTGAATGGGGAAAAGCAAATCCTAATCAATACCAAGGAACTCTCTCGGGTATCAAAGGCTTCCCTAACATACAATCAAGCCTATTCTCATGGTATCATGCAAATTAGAGACATTAAAAACATTACTCTAACTTCCCAATTATCAACCCAACTATTCTCATGTTGAATCTCAAACCCTAAATTGATCTACTCAAATCCATTTAAACCCAACTCTCGTTGTGATAGAAACAATGGAATAATAACGATGCTAATTATCTCTAATCTAGTATTGGCATAATCACAATCAATTTAGCATAAGCAATTACAAAAGTCGTTAGAGAATTTAAGGAATTAATTCATGCATCAATCATAATTGGGCAACCCTAAATCTTGGAAAAAAGAAACTACTTACTCATAATGAAATAAACAATAACAAAAATAATTAAGGAAAACATAATTAAGAAAATTAAAGATGAAAAGAAAATACCGAATCTTGAATTGAATGGAAAACGGAAAGTAGAAATCTTGAATCTTGAATTTCAAAATCAAAGCAATTTAATGGAGAGAACTAGGTTTTAACAATGTAAAACTAGACTAATAAAAACTTAATTCTCAAATAAAACAATACTTAGTGTATTTATAGCCCTAGAAAGATAATAAAACGCTCAAAAGACTTGGCGCATAATTCTCCCAGGAGGCACGGACGTGCCTCTAATCGAGTGCAAACTTCCTTGGCTTCTGACTTCCAGGCACGGATGTGCCTCTTGACGAGTGTAATTCTGCAGTCTTGGGCACGAACGTGCCCCTGCTAGGCACGGACGTGCCTAATGTCGAAGCTCATAGCTGTGTAAACTGACTTGGAGGCACGGACATGCCTCTGCTAGGCACGGACGTGCCTCACTCCAAAAGTCCCTAAATAGCTCGTTCTTCAATCAACAAGCCTCGTGAAGGTTCGTGGGCCTTGGTTTAGCTTCGTGACTTCGTAAAATATCCAAATTAGCTCCGTTAATCCTGAAATACATCAAAAACAACGAACTACCCATAAAAGCATCGAATCATCAAAACTAAACCAAATTACACCAAAATAGACTAAAACACTCGACTAAGCTAATAAAACCAACTAAAAATAAGCTAACAAATATGCACAAAACACGACTTATCAAACTCCCCTAAGCTAAACTAATTCTTGTCCTCAAGCATTTAACCATGAATCACAAGGGAGGAGAAAGACAACTTCTCAAACCATCATAATGTGCCATCAATTTGAAATCACGAGGAAAACAAAAATTAGAGTTAATATGCATAAAACCACCATAAACCTCTTAAACTTGGAATCGACAAACATCTTACCACACATCTCCCCATACCAACTCACACAAACATGAATAGCTCTCACCTTAGTTGTGAAAAATAAAAAACAAATAACGCTCATGTGTGTTATGGGGTGAAATACGATATCACTCAACCTAAGCATAGAATGCATGTCAACTTCACATGAATTGTCCTCTTTAGGCTTGCAATGTGACTTTCTCCACTTCTAATGATTGATGCAATTACAAAAATCATGAAATCCATAAAGGGTAAGCTTGGTAAACAAGGGTTGGACGACGTTATTTGGGAATGTGGTGCTTAAAATATAACAAATCCTAATCTCACTACACATTCAAATGTTGGGTTCAAACCTACCTTATTTCCTCCAACTTCATACAAAATAAGAATAGCCCCTTATTTCTTTCTTTTTCCTTCTCTTTTTTTTTTCTTTTCTTTTTCTCTTTTTTTTTTCATTCATTTTTTTTTTCTTTTGCAAAAAGAAAGGGATTCATAGCAAATTAGGATTTAGGAAGACTTTAAACTCTTTAATTCGAGGTAAGGGTGTATGCAAGTTCAACACCCTTTTTTTTCTTTCTTTTCTTTCCTCTTCTTCCTTCCTTCCTTCTAATAAATCAATTCCCTTCTTTCTCTTTTTCTTTTTTTTTTTTTCAATTTTTTTTTCATTTTTTTTTCTTTTTTTTTCATATATCACTCATAGGGCTTTAACAAGTGTAATGCTCCTTCAAAATAAACCTAGGAAAATAGCTCTATGGCTTTAAACGTAGGGTATCAAGAAGGGGTTAAAACACGGCTCAAATTGGCTCAACCTACGGGTGAATGAAAAATAAAAAAAAATTATGCAGGCCTAGAATGTGGAGGCTCTATTCTCTACAAGGAAATTTCAATCATTTTTTCGCAACATGCATCATTCAAGTCTCAAACAGTCAAAGAGCAAGACCAAGAATTCAATTATGTGAAGGACAACTAATCACACATGAAGAAACACGACTGAGATAGAGTGCAATCAGTCAAATATGGCTCAAAAATCTCACCGGGTACACAAACTATTCACATAAGTAGAGCGGGGAGACCATCCTGGCCACAAACCAACTCAATTCCAAGCAAATCGGTGAATGGGTTTTCGAAAACTCTTTTCGCAAAGCACACATATATGATTGTTATCATAGAAGAATAGGCATGTAAAGGCATATCAACAACACTAGAAAAAAAAAGAAACTAACCAAATACTAAAAAAAAAAATTATATACATGGTGAAAAGTGAATCCTCCCCCAAGCTAAACCATACAATGTCCTCAATGCATGCATATATCAGTGTAAATGGACAAGGGGAGAGGGAAACAACTCTACTGCTCGGGAGGGTGAGAATCATACCTCGGGCCGGAGCTAGGACCGCCCTGAAAATGCTGACGCATCATGCCCCTTCCATGTAGTCCTCCTTCGTAGAATCTGTTCTTTTCACCTGCATAAAGAGAGAGAACTAAAATAAAATAAAATAAAGAACACTAATAAATAAATCTAAAATCAAAATAAAGATAAGAATAAAAACCAAGTAAAAGATCGAGAATGGGTTGCCTCCCATTTAGCGCTTGTTTATAAGGTCTTTAGCTTAACCGTAGTGATAGCTCAGCTCGGGTCACCACACGAAGAAGGAACTCCGTGATGTTTCCCATGAAAATATCTGCTTCCAAGTGACTCCTTCATTTTATAATTAACCTGCCTTGTATCCAAACTCACCTTCATATGGCCAAACACATCATCGGGTGGAATTTTGTCTTTGCTTCTCACGAACATTCTATCAAATACATACTTATCAACCAAGGGGTTAGTAGCATCGATTCTTAAGCAAGTACCACCATCAAATATAGAATTATGTTCATCAAAGAGCTTGAACATGACTTGTTTATCCTGGGCCCTAATGGTGACTTGTCCTTCGGGAACATCTATTACGGCTTGACTTGTGGCGAGGAATGGTCGACCAAATATAATCGGGATCATATGGTCTTCTTTCATATCCATGACAACAAAATCAACATGAAAAACAAGTTCACCAACCGTAACTAATACATCTTCAACCATACCCTTAAGGAGTCTAGAGGTTCTATCAGCCAATTGAAGAGAGATAAGGGAAGGTTTAAGTCCTTGCAAGCCTAAACTCTCATATAATGAATAGGGCATTAAGTTAACACTAGCACCTAAATCGCACAAAACCCTATTGAAAAATTTCTCGTTTATCGTGCAGGGAATAGTGAAACTACCCGGATCATGCAGCTTAGGTGGTAGGTTATCATATAAGAGAGTAGGGCCCTTCTTATTTACTACTTCCTTATCCTTTTGTTGATCTTTAATAATCTTCACAAAATTTGCAAATTGAGGCATTTGAATTAAAAGATCAGAAAAGGGAGTAGAGGCGTGTACCTTCTTAAGAGCTTCGCAGTATTTCCCAAAATGTCTATCGAGTACGGCTTTTGACAACCTTTGCGGGAAGGGCATCGGTTCCTCATAAGCCGGTGGAGCAACATATTAGGGACCTTGAACATCTTCGCCCCTTTCATTTTCTCTAGACTCCACACTGCACACCTTCTCATCTATTTGCCTCGGAGGTGGTTCATCTCTTCTCAAGAAAACGGCATTACATTGTTCCTTTTGAACCTTCGCTTGATCGTGAAGAGTTGATAAACGACTCATCTGTTGTGAAAGCTGACTTATTTGGGTTTCCATAAGCTTACTCTGGGCTTGCAACTGTTGAATGGAGCTACCTTGTTGTTGGATGGCACTATTGGTTGTGGTAATGAAGCTCTCCATCATCAACTCAAGGCTAGATTTTTGGGGAAGTAGTTGCGTTGGTTGTTGGTTCATAGGTGGTCTTTGTTGGAAGCCGGGTGGTGAGTTGTAGTTGTTGGGTCGAGGCGATGGTGGTGGATTCTGTTGTGCTTGGGTGTTCTTATAAGAGAAGTTAGGATGGTGTTTCCAACCTTCATTGTAGGAATTGGAGTAGGGGTCATAGGGATTTTTGGGATTTGAGGAGTATAAAGAATTGGCTTGTTCAATAGACATCTCACTCATGTTCTGCGGGAAATCAGGTGCGATGTGGCCCTGCACATTACACATTTGACAAACCTCTTGGGGGCTAGTTAAAGTTTCAGCTTGGAGCTTATCAAACCTGCTTGTTAGTGCCTGCACAGAACTGGCTAACATAGTCAAAGCATCTACATTAAGCTTACCTCCTTTTTTCACATTCTGACGACCTCTTGGATGATAATTATCATTGGCCGCCATCTTCTCAATCAGCTCCTTTGCCTCAGTTGCGTTCTTTGTCAAGAGAGAACCCCCTGATGCAGCATCAATGTAGATTCGGAACTCATGGGTTAGGCCATTATAGAAGGTTTGAATCAACAACCACACTGGGATACCGTGATGAGGGCATTGTCTCTGTAACCTCTTGAAACAATAGCTGAAGCAACGAATGAGGCTTAGTAAAAACGAATCACAAATAATCAAATGAAACTGTTAGTCCCCGGCAATGGCGCCAAAATTTGATAGGCGGTCGCACACCTAGCAAAAATAACCTAACTAATACTCCTAACTATGTAGTAGGGCAAGTCAGGGTCGATCCCACAGAGACTATGGTTCACCTAAAATTATCTAGACTCAAGTTATTACTAAGCAAGGATCAACAATGGTCGAATAACTAATGAACTAATGTATGGAAAATCGAAAATAAACTAAGGGATATGAAGAATCAGGTAATTAAAACATCCAAGATCTAGTATCACCACAATTACGATTGATGCAATTATATTCCTACCCCTAACATACGATTCCAATTGAATGGGGAAAAGCAAACCCTAATCAATACCAAGGACCACTCTCGAGTATCAATGGCTTCCCTAACATACAATCAAGCCTATTCTCATGGTATCATGAAAATTAGAGACATTAAAAACATTACTCTAACTTCCCAATTATCAACCCAACTATTCTCATGTTGAATCTCAAACCCTAAATTGATCTACTCAAATCCGTTTAAACCCAACTCTCGTTGTGATAGAAACAATGGAATAATAACAATACTAATTATCTCTAATCTAGTATTGGCATAATCACAATCAATTTAGCATAAGCAATTACAAAAGTCGTTAGAGAATTTAAAGAACTAATTCATGCATCAATCATAATTGGGCTACCCTAGATCTTGGAATAAAGAAACTACTCACTCATAATGAAATAAACAATAACAAAAACATAATTAAGAAAATTAAAGATGAAAAGAAATTACCTAATCTTGAATTGAATGGAAAACGGAAAGTAGAAATCTTGAATCTTGAATTACAAAAGCAAAGCAATTTAATGGAGAGAACTAGGTTTTAACAATGTAAAACTAGACTAATAAAAACTTAATTCTCAAATAAAACAATACTTAGTGTATTTATAGCCCTAGAAAGATAATAAAACGCTCAAAAGACTTGGCGCATAATTCTCCCAGGAGGCACGGACGTGCCTACAAGAGGCACGGACGTGCCTCTGATCGAGTGCAAACTTCCTTGGCTTCTGACTTCCAGGCACGGACGTGCCTCTTGACGAGTGTAATTCTGCAGTCTTGGGCACGGACGTGCCCCTGCTAGGCACGGACGTGCCTAATGTCGAAGCTCATAGCTGTGTAAACTGACTTGGAGGCACGGACGTACCTCTGCTAGGCACGAACGTGCGTTACTCCAAAAGTCCCTAAATAGCTCGTTCTTCAATCAACAAGACTCGTGAAGGTTCGTGGGCCTCGGTTTAGCTTCGTGACTTCGTAAAATATCCAAATTAGCTCCGTTAATCCTGAAATACATAAAAAAAACGAAACTACCCATAAAAGCATCGAATCATTGAAACTAAACCAAATTACACCAAAATAGACTAAAACACTCAACTAAGCTAATAAAACCAACTAAAAATAAGCTAACAAATATGCACAAAACACGACTTATCATATACATAATATTTTTTTAGATTGTCCGTATTCCACGTACGGGGAATAGGACGGCCATCTAAGGCATCAAGACGGTAGGTACCATCTTGGACTTCTTCTTTAATTCGGTAAGGCCCTTCCCAATTTGGGGTTAGTTTGCCATCCTCTTTTTCTCGGCTCACCGCTTCCATTTTCCTCAAGACCAAGTCTCCAATCTTTAGCGGCTGCTTTGACACTTTGCGATTATATGCCCTTGTCATCCTTAGATGATAAATTTTGTGTCTAAGCGCTGCATTGCCCCTAGCTTCTGGAAGGAAGTGTAGGGCAGTCTTCATGGCCTCCCAATTGGCCGATTCATCATACAACATCACTTGTAGAGTCGGCTCATACATTTCAATTGGTGGAGCACGTCCTCAGCACCGTAGACCAAAAAGAATAGGGTCTCCCCTGTTGAACTTTTTGATGTCGTTCGAAAGGACCATAACACATTTACCAACTCATTAACCCATAGGCCGCCTGCTTTCTCAAGCTTCCAGTTGATGCCAAAGGAGATCAACTTGTTGTACGCTTCAACTAGGCCATTAGCCTTTGGGCGTCCGAGCGAGGCAAAGCAGTGTGTTATGCCCTGGTCACTCAGCCAATCTCTGAGATGGTCGGTCTCAAATTGTGATCCATTGTTGAACACCATTGATTGTGGCGCACCAAAGCGTGTGATTATGTTTTTCCATATGAAGGTGGATACATCTTTCCATTTGATTCCTCGGACGGCCTCGGCCTCTACCCACTTCGTGAAGTAGTCAAGTGTTATTAACACGTACCGCCTCTGTCCAGATGCTGGTGTATACGGCCCCAAGATGTCCATGCCCCATTTTACAAAGGGAAGTGCACCCGCTGTTTTCCAGGCGGTGGATAAGGGTCGCAAATCTCTAGCACTTGTCACATTTTCTCACCATTTCCACGGAGTCTGAATTCATGCTCGGCCAGTAATACCCTAGATAGGTAACTTTCTCGACTAAGGCTCGTCCGCCTATGTGTGATCCGCAATGCGCCTGGTGGAGGTCGTCCAGCATCTCATGCCCCCTCTCGGACATATCACATTTCAAGTAGGGCTTTACAAATGATCTTTTGAACAAGTCCTCTCCCTTCATCTCAAACCATGTCGCCTTTTTTTTTATCAGCTAGCTCTCCATGGGGTCGTTCGGAAGAACTCCATCTTTAAGATAGGAGATTATTCCGTCCATCCATGTGGAGCTTATGTCAATGATTTGCACGAGCTCGACATCGATGCTCCTCTTTTACTTGACTTCCCAAAACACAGATCTCGGAGTATCACATGATGCCGAGGAGGCTAGTTCGGACAGGGCGTCCGCTTGATGATTCTTGGACTGAGGGACTTGTTGTAGCATGAAATTCTCTAGGCTCTCAGCCTCATCTTTCACTATTTGTAAATACTTCATCATTGTTGGCTCCCTAGCCTTATTGTCACCATTCACTTGACTGACTATCAGCTGAGAGTCCGAACATACATTAATTTTTGTTGCCGCGACCGCCTTACACATTATAAGGCCGCCCAGAAAGGCTTCATACTCGGCCTCGTTGTTAGAGGCTTGAAACTGAAATCTCAAAGCATATTCAAACTTATCTCCTTCGGGAGATAGTTATACGATACCAGCGCCGCATTCGGTCGTCGTTGCAGTTTCATCCACAAAAACTTTCAAGATCTGATCCCCTACCGGCTGTAAATCCGGTCGTTTCATTTCAGCCAAGAAATCTACAAAGGCTTGGCCCTTGATTGCTTTTCTAAGTTCGAATATGATATCAAATCCTCTCAATTCTAAGGTCCATTTAAGCATTCGGCCGCTGGCCTCCAATGTCGTGAACAACCTCTTCAATTGTTGGTCTTTGTAGACCACAATTGAATGAGCAAGAAAGTATGGCCTTAGCTTTTTTGATTCCATGAACAATACCCAGCCGAACTTTTCAATGGGTGAATACTTAAGCTCGGCATTGTGCAAAATGTGGCTAATGAAATACACCAGGATCTGATGACCGTCCCTTTCAGCAAGCAGGACGACACTTAAGGAATGATCTGAAATAGCCAAATACATGTATAACTTCTCATCTTTGAGGGGACTGATGAGCTGAGGAAGGGTATGCAAATGATTCTTCAACTGTACGAAGGCTTCCTCGACCTCCTCTATCCACTCGAACATTGCTTTTTTCTTGATAGTCTGGAAAAAATAGCGGCACTTATCCCCTAATCTTGATAGAAATTGTCCGAGTGCATCTAAGCAGCCGATCAATCTTTGAACTTCTTTTATGGTTCTGAGCGATTTCATCTCTAAGACCGCTTGGATCTTTTCAGGGTTGGTCTCAATGCTGCAGTAATCAATTAAAAATCCGAGAAATTTGCCGGACTCAACACCAAAGACACACTTCTTTAGATTTAACATCATTTTATGCCGCCTGAGTTCTATAAATGTTTCTCAGAGGTCCTTCAGATGATTGGCCGGCCTCTTTGATTTAACAATCATATCATCAATATAAGCCTCTGTGTTCTGGCCGATCTGATATCTAAAGACCGTATTCACAAGTCTCTAAAATGTGGTAGGGGTGTTCTTCAGGCCGAATGGCATGACTTAGTAGCAATATAGCCCCTACTTGGTCACAAACGCTATTTTTTCTTGGTCTTCTTCCCACAAAGAGATTTTATGGAATCCAGAGTATGTGTCTATAAAGCTCATCAGGGCATGCCCGACCGTTGAATCAACCATGCGGTCAGTTTTAGGCAACGGAAAGATATCCTTAGGGCATGCCTTGTTGAGGTCGATGTAATCTACGCACATCCTCCAAGTTTCATTCGGCTTTTTGACAAGAACTACATTAGCCACCCAGTTAGGGTAGTAACATTGCCGAATAAAACCGGCGCACAACATCTTTTTAACTTCGGCTGCGGCCGCCTGATTCCTTTCTTCACCATGATTCCTCTTTTCTAACGAACAGGTCTCACAGCCGGGTTCATAGCTAGCTTATGAACTGGTAAGTCTGGGCTGGTACCAAGCATCTCATGAACTTCAAACGCAAACACATCTCTGAATTCTCTTAACTAACTCACCAAGTTATCTCCAAGCAATCCCATGGCCATAGTGCCCACTTTGACCGTCCGACCAAGCTGGTCTGGGTCAAGCACTATGTCCATATGATCACCGGCCGGTTGGAGCCTCAACTCTTTTGGCCGACCGACGGTCATTAGCTGCTATTCTTGCTCTTTCTTGATCAACTTGCGCTTTTTGCCGACCTGGTATGCTTGGAGTGACCCTTTTTCAGGATTTTGCTCAGACGCTTTTCCCTGTCCGTGTGCTGTTGGTTTTACAGCCTGCTGATTACATTCTTTTGCCATCTTCTGATTTCCTTGAATGATACCTATCTTCCCATCCAACTGCTCAAACTTCATCAGCATCAAGTGAGGGACGATTACTGCCTTTGCTGATGTCAAAGTTGGGCGGCCAATGATAACATTGTAGCCAGTGAGTTCTTTAATAACTAGGAAGCGGACAACCATGTCCCTCCCTTCTCCCTTCTGCCCAAACCGGACGGGCAAGTCTATTCGTCCGATCGGGTGGATAATACTCCCATTGAACCCAACCAACGGGTGAGAGATATCCTTTAGGGCGTCCTCTAGGAGCTTCAGATTCATTAAACAAGCTAGACTGATTATGTCGGACGGGCTACCTGTGTCTATTAGAACTCGTCCGACCTTCAAATTAGCAACTTTCAAGATGAACACCATGGGATCATTATGGGTAGCTTTGATATGGCCTCAGTCAGCTTCACAGACCGTCACTTCTGGGAAGGGCTCAATTTTCATCCCTTCGGTGTGCATTATATTTTAAATATTCCAAACATCTTGCTTGATTCCCTTCATGGTTGGGCTGCCTGCAGGAAAGACGCCTGATATAACGGCCACGAACCCTGAATCCGTCCAGTTTCCATCATCACCTTTTTCTTTTTCTTTCTTCTTCTCATATTTGTTGTCTGTCCGAGAGTAGGTGAACTTGGACTTCTGAACGTACGAGTAGAGCATGCCCTTCCCGACTAGCTTATTCAGTAACCTCTTCAAATTGTTGCAGTCGTTCGTGTCATGCCCCACATCCTTGTAGTAATGACAGTACTTTTTCTTGTTTCTGTACTAGGTCGGCCCTCTCAAAGGCTGAGGCTTCTCGAATTTGAACTTGTCTTTGATCTCCATCAAAATTAAATAATAATCTTTGTTGTACTCGTATGGAGGCTTGTACGTCTTGGCTTTCTTTGACTTCGTCTGTTGTCAGTCGGCCACCCACACTTCCTTTCTTTTGTTGTTTCCTTCCTTCTTTTTGGCGGCCGAGTCTTGCTGAGAAGATTGTTTCTTCTCAGCCCCCTTGGTTGGCTCTTCTGATTTTGTAAGAGAATAAAAATAAGCTACTTCAATATAAAATTCGGCCTCTCGCAGAACACCTGCGTATGTCCGAATCTTTTTCCTGATGAGATCAAACTTGAAACCATTATGCCTTAAACCTCGAAGGAACTCCGAGTAGGCCATTTCATCCGGAATATTCTAAATTTGAGCTTTCTCCAAGTTGAACCACTGGACGTACAAGCGCAACCCCTCTTTCTTTCCTTAGACGATGGTTCCCGAGTTAAGATTAGTCTTTCGGGGCGGAATATTGTAGGAGAAGTTTCCAACAAATAATAAGCTCAGAGTTGTGAAGCAATTGATGCATCCGGCCGACAGACTGTTGAACCAGTCTTGTGCCTCACCCTTGAGGGTGGCCGGGAAGCATTTGCACCAGGTGTGATATACACGTTTTACACATATGTTTTCACCTACTTTTCAATACATTCTTGTATGGTTTGAGGCTCTTTAGAGCCATTTTCCGCTAACATTCTCTTCTCTAGTGTGTTCGGTGCATTTTTATAAGTTTTACAGGAAATGCGAGTTCTTTGGATGATTCAGACACATTTTTGATGTCTATGGGAAATGTTAGTGAAGAAAGGATGGAGAACCAAGCTAAGATCGAGCCATAAAGCGTTCAACTCTGCGTTGCCCGGTTGCCCTATGCATGGCCGGTTGCACCAGACATAGAAGGATTGATTTGGTTAGAGCTAATGCGAAGAGGAAGAAGTTGTTTTAGGCATTTATCCCACGCGCCCGATCGGGCTAGCTGTGCCCAGTTGGACCGGGCACGTGGTGGTTGATGTTGTTACGAAGACTACGAAGCAAGGGAAGCAAGGCACCCAAGTGGAGCCTCGCGCCCGATCGGGCGCCACTTGCCCGGTTGGATTGGGCGCCGAGGAGAAGGCTACGAAGAAGTGCGCAGCCATCAGATACCACCTGCCCGATCGGGTGGTGCTCACCCGGTCAGACCGGGCAAGGTATGCGCGTGACGATTTTATTATTTTCGAGATTTTATTTTATTAAGGGTATAAATACCCATTGTAATCATCATTAGTGGACACTTATTATCTCCTTAAGTTTTATTTTTCTCTCAAAAACCCTAGTTTATTTCTTTTAAGCATTTTAATTATTTCATTAGATTTGATTATTGTTGATTAACAATTTGAGTAATTTCAATTGAAGCATCATTGGTATTCATCTCTATTCCTTTCTCTTTCAATTATTTTTGTTTTCAATTATGTTTTCCTTGATTATTATTTTTATTACTTCTTTCACTATGTGTGAGTAGTTTTCTTATTCCAAGATCTAGGGTAGCCCAATTATGATTGATGCATGAATTAATTCTTTAAATTCTCTAATAAGTATTGCAATTGTTTATGCTAAATTGATTGTAATTATGCCAATACTAGATTAGAGATAATTAGTATTGTTATTATTCCATAGTTCTAATCACAACGAGAGTTGGGTTTTAACGGATTTGAGTAGATTAATTTAGGGTTTAAATTTCATCATGAGAATAGTTGAATTGATAATTGGGAATTGAAGTAAAGTGTTTAATGTCTCTGATTTGCATGATACCATGAGAATAGGCTTGATTGTGGGTTAGGAAGCCATTGATACTCGAGAGAGGTCCTTGGTATTTGTTAGGGTTTGCTTTTCCCCGTGTTAATTGGAATTGTATGTTAGGGGTAGATATATAATTGCATCGATCGTAATTGTGGTGATACTTGATCTTGGATGTTTTAGCTAATTAATTCATTATATTCTTTTGATTAATTCTAGTTTTTCATACAATAGTTCCTAGTTTATTCCACCATTGTTTGATTCTTGCTTGGTAATTATTTGAGTCTAGATAATTTAGGTGGACCTTAGTCTCTTGGGATTCGAACCTTACTTGCCCGACTACATAGTTAGGAGGAAGAGTTAGGTTATTTTTGTTAGGTACGCGACACGCCTATCAAGGTGGCATCATCCACACTTTGCAACTACATCAAATTTCTATACAAAGTAACATGTTCTTCCGGGTTGCCCGTGCCATCATAGGCACCCACAAGTACTCTTCACATTAGTTGGTTGAGGAGAGTTGAAAATTTCTTGAGAAAACGGAGGCGGCTTGTCGCCAAGATTCAACAAGCGCATTTGCTAATTAATAGGCTGAGGTTATGCGGCCGATCTGCCCAGATATGCTGCCTGGTTGTATGGCTGGCCATACTGCCCCTACTGCTCATAGATAAAGGGACCCTAGGTGACCATAATGGGGCATTTGAAACTGAAGTGGTTGAGTTAAAAGAATTGGGGTTGGAGTATGATAGGCTGTCGTAGAGCCTACCAAAGATAAAAACCTAACTTGGTCTCTCTAATGGGTAGGAAGGGCAAGTAAGGGTCGATTTCACATAGACTAAGGGGAGCACTAACAAATATCGATTTGTGATAAGCTAAGGCAAGTCTTTTTGGGTTATGAGTTATGAAAAAAAATCTACAAACAATAATAAAAAGGATCTTGGGAAGGTATCCACCAATTAAACCATTCACAAACTACAATTTAACATATAAGACATAGCAATTTGGGGATAAATTAGGGGAAGTCATCTAAGGCACCTAACTACTCTCTCAAGCTAGAGGGATTACTTGAGTCATGAAATATAACCTACTCTTGTGGTTACAAAGCATAAAATAAGTGGTAAAGCATAATCACGATGACATAAACATTCCCTTGACTTGAAATTCCTATTCTCATGGCATTTTAAGTCAATTAAGCATAAGGGAGCTAACTTAAGTTTATCTCTCTATCCATCGTTGAGAAAGCTTAGATAAATAGTTCTAGCAATGGCCATTTACAAGAACTAACAATGAAACCACTTAATCTCAACTAATTAACATCCCACATTAGCTAAATCAACACAT